CTATGTAATAAACATTTACATGTAATCAAGTATATATTTTATAATTAAATTTTAACTGCATTGTAATAAAACTATGAACTGCATGGTTTTATAATGGCATCCAGAACTATTATAAAAGCTTGATAGACTACCAGATCTTCCAAGATCTAACCATTGATTTATTAGATATATACTTCTTTTTATGTAGATTAACCAGGATTCTAGGCAATATCTTTTCACCCATAGATAAAATCCTCCAGAGTTCAAATCCAATAAAATTGTTTAAATCCAGAAAAAATCTAATATTGTTTCTGGAGTGGATGAAGGAAAATATGTATTGTTTAATACAGATAAAACAAACGCTTGTAATCAGACAAACAATGACAAGGGTTTACTAGCGGTGTTGAGTGGCTTTTTTGCAGGGAACAGAAGGATATGCATCTTCTAAATCAGCAAATACTACATTTAGCTTACTTCAGCTATCATTTGGTCTAGCCTGGGGAAAATTTTAGAGTGGATTTCTAAAATCAGTGGCATCTTTTTTCCTTTTTCTTTTTTCTTTTTCTTTTTGAGGCCTATCCAGAAGTCTGAAAAAAGAGAGGCTATTTTAATAAACGGCAGAAGTGTGAACCTCTTCTGAAATTTGTTTTGAAGACTGCACTGTTTTAATATATAACATAAATTCAATCATTTTAATTTCCTGACAACTGCCATGATGGGCTGAAGATGGTTTCAAAGAGCAGAGCCAATAAATACAACAGTGAATGGATCAGTTCCCTGAACCTCTCTTCGCATCAAGGAGAGGACCAGGATTACTCACAAGTGCTCCAAAAATATATATATTTCTAAAAGATCTCCTATCTTTATCCTTAATGTAGTCACTTTGCCATTTGGTCACAATTTGGCAGCAAAGGCTTTATCATTAATTACGATTTTATAAGACAAATCATGGAGTCTCTTGTCTGAATATGCATGTATCATTCTATCTCTGTGTTTAGCCTGTTCTGATGCATCCGGTTTGTTGATGGTGATAAGATAACTTAGTTTTGATGTGCATGCTTATTTACAGTGCTGAAAATAAATTTTAGGACTGAGCATTGTCTAGAAATATTTTTTAAATTTTTTAAGTCCCTTGTTCCACCTGGAGCAACATTTTACCTGGCTTGAAAAACCTGAAGTTCCTATCAAAAAACCCAATACAGATTCCAGAGAAGCCTAAAGGTATTCAGTTCTGTTTTACAATAGATTTGCTAAGAGCTCTTTGCTTTTTTCTGTCCAAGACAAGAGAGAGAGAGAGAGAGAGAGAGAGAGAGAGAGAGAGAGAGAGAGTGAGAGAGAGAGAGAGAGAGAATCTCTCTGGACATGCTCCATGCCATCAAGATCCTTCTGAGCATTGATCCTGGATAACAATTTTTGTACAAGAAAGAAAAGAAGAATGATGTGATGATAGCTTTTAAAGTTATTTAGTTTTTAAAATACTGATTTTTTTCAGACATCTTAGCTGAATTGCTTTACTTTGAAAGAAAACAGATGTTGCACAATCATTCCATTATTTCCTATATTCTTCCATTATTTGTACCTCACCTGCAAACCTTAGCAAAATATTCAAATAATGGTTTTATTAAATAATAAATAAATAAATAAATAATTTTATTTCTATACCGCCCTTCTCCCGAAGGACTCAGGGCGGTGTACAACCTATTAAAAACACAAAGACAGACATCAATTAAAAATAATTAAAATTAAATAATTTCGGCTCAGATTTAAAACCCCCAAAATTTAAAACACCCAATTTAAAATCATTACATTGATAGCCCGGCCTGGTGGAACAGCAGGGTCTTGAGGGCACAGCGAAATACACAGAGGTCGGAGATCTTACGCATTTCCGGGGGCAGTTCAATCCACAGGCCAGGGGCTCCCATAGAGAAGGCCCTCCCCCTGGGTGTCGCCAGCTGACATAACTTGGCCGATGGCACCCTGAGGAGACCCTCTCTGTGGGAGCGGACTGGCCAGTGGGAGGCTATTGGTGGCAGAAGTCAGTCTCGAAGGTACCTGGGTCCTATGCCATGGAGCACTTTAAAGGTGGTAACCAGCACCTTGAATCGCACCCGGAAAGCCACTGGGAGCCAGTGCAGCTTGCGCAGGAGGGGTGTCACGTGGGCACAACGAGTTGCGCCCATAACCACCCGCGCGGCCACATTCTGGACCAGTTGGAGCCTCTGAGTGCTCTTCAAGGGGAGCCCCATGTAGAGAGCATTACAGTAGTCCAGCCAGGAGATGACAAGGGCGTGATTGACCGTGCGCAAGGTGTCCCAGTCCAGAAAGGGCTGCAACTGGCGAATCAGGCGAACCTGATAAAAAGCCCCCCTGGCCACGACTGTTATATGCTCTTCTAAAGACAGCCGTGCATCCAAGAGGACACCCAGATTGCTAGCCCTCTCTGTGGGGGGCAGAAATTCACCCCCAATAGTCAGCAATGGCACCAGCTGACTATATCAGGACGCCAGAAGCCACAGCCACTCGGTCTTGGAAGGGTTGAGTCTGAGCCTATTTCTCCCCATCCAGACCTGCACGGCCTCCAGGCAGCGAGACATCACATCAAGGGCATCATTGGGTGGTCTGGGGTGGAGATGTACAGCTGAGTGTCATCAGCGTACTGATGGACTCTCACCCCAAAACCATGGATGATCTCACCCAGCGGCTTCACATAAATGTTGAACAGAAGGGGCGAGATGACCAACCTTTGTGGCACTCCCCATGCAAGGCACCTCGAGGTCGACCTCTGTCCCCCTGCCAACACAAACTGCAAATGGTCGGAGAGGAAGGAGGACGGTGCCCCCTATTCCTAACCCCGTCAACCGTTGCAGCATGATACCATGGTCGATGGTATCAAAAGCCGCTGAGAGATCTAATAGGACCAGGACAGAGGAGCAACCCGTCCCGAGCCCTCCAGAGATCATCCACCAACACGACCAATGCCGTTTCTGTGCTGTACCCCTGCCTGAAGCCTGACTGGTACTGGTACGGGTCCAGATAGATAGCTTCATCCAGTTGCCGGGGAAGATGTCGTGCCACCACACTCTCAACAACCTTCGCCACAAAACGAAGATTGGAGACCGGACAGTAGTTAGCTAATTCAGCTGGGTCCAGGGAAGGCTTCTTGAGGAGGGGCCTCACCACCGCCTCTTTCAAGGCGGCGGGAAAGGCACCCTCACTCAAAGAAGCACTTATAATCCCCTGGAGCCAGCCTCGTGTAACCTCCCGGGACCCAGTACCAACCAGGAGGGAGACGGGTCCAATAAACATGTGGCGGCACTAATCTTACCCAGAACCCTGTCCACATCCTCGGGAGCCACAGGATCAAACTCCTCCCAGATAATATTCTCAAGACCTACCCTCGTCTCCTCCCCTGGACTCATCCAGTTGGAGTCCAAGCCTTCCCGAATCCGAGCAACTTTATCATGCAGGAATTGCACAAAATCCTCAGCTCGACCCTGCAAGGGATCTTTCCGCACTCCCCCCCCCCGAAGGGAGCTGGTCACCCTAAACAGAGCGGCGGTTCTCTGCAGATGCGATAAGAGCGGAAAAATGGTTAGATTTCGCCGCTTTTATTGCCACTAGATAGGTCTTGATATAAGACCTCACCAGTGTCTGGTCAAAATCGGATTGACTAGTCCTCCAGATGCTCTCTAGGCATCTTTTCCAATGCTTCATCTCTCTCAGCTCCTCAGAGAACCAAGGAGCCAATTGAGATCGGCATCGGGTCAGAGGCATGACGTGGTCCAAAGCTCCGGCAGCCGCACTCTCCCAGGCGGCCACCAGGTCTTCGGTTGGGTCGTGTGCCAGGGCCTCAGGAAATGGCCCAAGCTCTGTCAGGAATCTTTCGGGATCCATCAGGTGCCTGGGACGGAACCATCTGGTCGGTTCTGTCTCCCTGCGGCGGGGGGAAGCAGCTGGAAAGTCCAAGTGAAGGAGTGAATGATCTGTCCATGACAAGGGTTTAATGTCTAGGTCCCCTCTACCAAGATCATTCAACCACTGACCAGAGATGAAAATCAAGTCCAGAGTGTGTCCCCCTATGTGAGTGGGGCCTTGAACTAACTGGGTCAGATCCATGGCCGCCATGGAAGCCATGAACTCCCGAGCCACCTCTGACACCTCACCTGCGGATGGTAGGTTGAAATCCCCCATGACAATGAGTCTGGGGGTATCAACTGCCACCCCGGCAATAACATCGAGCAGCTCGGGCAGGGTCACCGCCACATGGCAGGGAGCCAGGTACGTAGTCAGCAAACCCATCTGTACCCCACGGCCCCACTTCACAAAAAGGGACTCACATCCGGCTATCTAAGGAACAGTGGTCTCCCTTGGACAAAGACTTTCCCTAATAATTGCCGCCACTCCCCCACCCCTCCCCTGAGCCCTTGGCTGATGAAATGCATGGAAACCTGGAGGACACATTTCAATGAGGGGGACCCTCCCCTCCTGGCCCAACCAGGTCTCCGTAATACCTGCCAGATCTGCACCCCCCTCCAAGGTAAGATCACAAATGAGGGGGGCTTTGTTAACAACCGACCTGGCATTACATAAAATCAGCTGTGGACCCAGGGCCTGAGGCTCTGTGCAACCCCGGACACAAGTTGCACATTGGGGGCTGGAGTGCGCAATCGCTCGTAAACAGCCTGTGCGCACCCCTGGAGCATGATATGGCCCCCTGCGCCCGTCATATCTGCCCCTCCCACTCATTATTTCAATTGCACTGCCCTTCCTATCACCCCCCTGCTCCCCGGTCAAATTTCCTTCCACAACCCCTCCACTGCATCCAATCGACCCATAACCCTGCTCAGTGGCTATATAGACCCCCCCAGATCCACCTTAAAATGGCTTTAGCCAGGCAACTGCGATTGCTGTGTGAAAAAGTATCAGGCTATGAAGTCAGACAAAAAAGAAAATATTACATATATGGAAATCATTGCAGTTTATTGAGTCACTTATATTTTATTGTATGTTTCCTTGGGCAGACTTGGTGCCAGGAACAGAATATGGAATTGGGATTTCAGCTATAATGAATAGTAAGCAGAGTGTTCCAGCCACCATGAATGCAAGAACTGGTAAGTGACATACTGCATACAGGTCAGTGGTGGGCTGCCCCCGGTTTGGACCAGTTCACAAGAACCAGTAGTAAAACTGGTGGGAGGCTCCGCCCACTGACCCGGACGTCATCATAGGTGATCTGCACATGGCAGAACAGCGGGCACGGGCGCGATGCGAACCAGTAGTAAAGGTAAGTAGAACCCACCCCTGATACAGGTAGTCCTCAGCCTGTGACCACAATTGGGACCAGAATTTCTGTTGCTAAGCCAGGCTGTTGTTAAGTGAGTTACAGCTGATTTTACAACTTCTTTCCACAGTTCTTAAATGAATCTGCAATCATTAAGTGAATCCAACTTCCTCCCATTGACTTTGCTGGTCTCAAATGGCCCACATAACCTCAGGATGCTGCAGGTGTCATAAATACACGCTGGTTGCCAAGTGTCTGAATTTTGATCATGTGACCATGCGGATGCTACAATGGTCATAAGTGCAAAGACCCATCATAAGTCACTTTTTTCAGTGCTATTGTAACTTTGAATGGTCACTAAACAAATGGTTGTAAGTTGAGGACTATCTGTATATAAAACCTGACATTCCAGCTAAGGATGTAGGTAGGGTTACCTTCCATTGACATTAGCGTACCTCTTGCTCTACTGGAGCATTACAAGAAACTAGAAAGACTTCAAAGAGCAAATCTTGCTAGTTTTGTTATTGGGAATCAATGGACCAAATCTAGGTTGCTTAGGCTACAAAAGTATCCTCAATCATTATTGCAAAAAACTTAAAAAGGCTGTTATACCCTTCTGCAAACCATGCCTTTGGTATATCTTGAAGGGAGATTTTGTAAGCGCCCTGTTGAAAAGCATCTCTCACTATAATAAACAGAGGACATATTTCACTGTGTCTGCCATTGTCCCATTTATGATGAGGTTGGGGCAAATTTATGGTACTAAATGTCCATAAGGTCTTGAACCCTTAAACTGTTTAATTACATTCTTGCAGGTGTGTTTGCAGGTTGGTCTTTTACCTTGTCATTTAAGCAAACAGAATTTTAAGTTCTTAACTGTAGCCCTGAGTTTATCTGATTTTCCTATATCCAGCACTTTTTTTTTTATCATCTTCTACTTTTTTTAATGTTGTTTTGCTTCACAGTATTGTACCTTATGCTCTACTATATTGTTATTACCTGTGATTACAATAAGGAAACTATTTACTTACCATATTAAAAATGAAACAAAATGTGACAATATTCAAGAGTTCCAGCCAGCTAACAATGCCTTCTTTGAGGAAGTACATTTCCCTGCAGAACATGCATACAGAATTGCATCCTATGTTTATTGAACATTTTAGTTCTTATTGAGCTATTTGGATCTTCTCCCTTAGGTTTTTTTTTTTTCATTTTTCTTTTCCTTTATAACATTTTGTACATTTCTGAAAAGCTGCTAATGTCTTCATTTCATAGGAGAATGTTGTTTTAGCCTCACAAGGATCTATTCTTAGCTGAGTTCTCTATTTAGCATGTGCCCTCAAATGAAAGAAATTTACTGGTGCAACAGGCTGAGGTAATGCATTAAAAGAAGATAAAATATTGCTGCAGTGGTCTAGGTCACAGGTTTATTCATTAGATACTATCTCGAGATAGGCAGTTTTCTTTTTTCTTTTTTTTTTTAATATACTTTATTGGTTTTAAAATTGTAGAAAACATCAAATCTCTGTTAACATCTGAGGTGTCGTGTCTTTACATATTTACAAAATATATATATCAAATAAATTTGAAATTACTATTACTAAAAATAAATATATCCTAACATAACAATCTCGTTCTATTATTCCACCATTTGTACTACCTTTCCCATACTGCATAGAATTTTGAGTTCACATCATTATTAAGATCACTTATTAATTTTGCCATTTCTGCACATTCTAAGATTTTATTTATTAGTATTTCCTCTGGAGGAATTGATTTGTCCTTCCAGTACTTTGCAAAAACTAGCCTGGCCGCTGTTGTGATATGTATTATAAGATGTATCTTATCTTTAGAGAATCCATCTCTGATCATTCCCAATAAAAAGATTTCAGGGGATAATTTTATTTCTTCTTCCACTATTTCTCGTAACCAATTTCGTATTCTTATCCAGAACTTTTTTGTCTCAGGGCAGGACCACCACATATGATAGAAGGTGCCAACCTCCTTTCCACACTTCCAACACGTTGCTGAAGCATTGGGAAATATTTTCGCTAATCTAGCTGGCGCTAGGTACCATCTATGGAAAATTTTGTAATGGTTCTTCCTATAAGTTGCTGATTTAGTCAAATTGTAGTTTCTATTCCAGGCCTCCTCCCAATCATTGAAATTTAAGCTATAACCAATGTTTTTTTCCCAAATATTTAATTGATTTCTGGCTATTCCTTCTGCCCTGTCCTCACCTAATAGAAGATTGTAGAATTTCGCTAACATTTTCTTTTCCGTCCCCAACATAATTTTATCCACATTGTTATGCTTCGCATCTATACCAAATTGGTCTCTATCTTTCTGGAATCTTGAGCTTATCTGTAGGTAATTCCACCAATCTAAATTAAAATCTTGATTTCTTAATGTTTCCCGAGATTTAAGGGTTCCTTTATCGTCTAATATATCTTTATACATGCTAAATTTTAGAATATCTCTTCTATTTGAGGCGGTCAGGGCCTCCATAATAGAAAGCCAATTTGGTACTTTCACATAGAATCGCTGCCTAATTTCTTCCCACGTTTGAATAAGAGTCTCCCTTACTTTGTGTTTATGAAAATATGATTTATTTATTTTTTTGTTCTTTAAATCCCATAGATGGTCGTGCCAACCTTTCTGTAGATCGTGGCCTTCTAACATCAAAATTCTCTTGTTTTGCAATATAACCCACTCTTTAATCCATACTAATTTAGCCGCCTTTTGATATACTTCCCAATCAGGGAGTCCAAAGCCACCCATATTTCTTTTCCCTTGCAGTGTCTTATATGAGATCCTCGCCTTCTTTCCCTCCCATAAAAAATCTCGCACCTTCTTATTCAGATCCAAGAAGAATTTTTTGTCGAGATTCACTGGTATAGTTTGAAATAAAAAGATGATTTTAGGGAGGATATTCATCTTGATTGCTGCAATTTTACCTGTAAAAGATAATTTTAACTTCTTCCATCTATCTATATCCTGATTTATTTTTTGTAGTAATGGAATATAATTGTCATCCTTTAAAGAAGAATATCTCGAAGTAATCCATATTCCCAGATACTTTATTTTCTTCACTATCTGAAGACCTAAGGATTTTTCTAACTCTTTCTTATTTGTCTCTGTCACATTTCTCACTAATATTTTAGTTTTTGTTTTATTAAGTTTGAAGCCAGCAACTTCTCCATACTTCTGTATTTCCTGAAGTAATTTGGGGCCAGTTTGCAAGGGATCTTCTGTTATTAAAGCCACATCATCTGCAAAGGCTTGTGTTTTAAATGTTTCTTTCCTGATTTGAAGTCCTTTAATTTCTTGATTGGCTCTGATCTTTCTAAGTAAAACTTCTAGCGCCATAATGAAAAGTAATGGAGACAAGGGGCATCCCTGTCTAACTCCCTTTTGAATCCAAAATGTCCGCGTCTTATCCCCATTTATTAGAATGCTCACCCTCTGTTTATGATAGATATTTTCAATCATTTTCCTGAAATTTGTCCTGAATCCCATTAAATTAATTTGGTTAACCATGAAGTTCCAGTTCAGGTTATCGAACGCCTTTTGGGCGTCCGAAAACACTAACGCCAGCTGTTTTTCCGGGTGCTGCTCATAGTATTCTATGACATTTATTACAGTCCTCAGATTATCTCTCATTTGTCTCCCTGGGAGGAATCCATTCTGATCGTTATGGATCCAACCGTTTAGGATTTTTTTTACTCTTTCCGCTATTATACTTGTAAACAGTTTATAATCTGAGTTTAGTAAAGAAATGGGTCTATAATTTGCTATTTGTTTTGGGTCGGTACCTTCTTTCAATATGAGTGTAATATATGCTTCCTTCCATGTGTCTGGGATTCTTATGCCAACTAAAACCTCATTAAATATTTCTAACAATTCTAATTGTAATTCTTCATCAAATTTTGTATATATTTCCCCCGGCAGACCGTCTGGGCCTGGTGTTTTGTTTTTTTTTTATTTTGGTAAGGGCCGATTTGAGTTCTTCTGTTGTAATTTTATTGTTCAGCATTTCCTTCTCTTCTTCCATTATATGTGGTAGGGTAGCTTCCATCAAATATTGTTCGACTTTATCTGGGTCAATCTCTTCATCTTTATATAGGGCTTCATAGAATTCTCTTGTTCTTTCTAAATTATCCTCTTCTTTTGTCAGACTATTACTTTGGAATCTTCTAATATAAGAATTTGATTTTTTTTCCTTTTCTTTTTTTAGTCTGTATGCAAGCCACCTTCCAGACTTATTGGCATTCTCAAAATGGTAGTGTTTTATTCTCTTAATTTTTTGCGCTAGCTCCTCCTGATCCAGAATATTCAGGCTATGCCTAGCCATCATCCACTTTTGCTTAGCCACCTCGTCTCCCGGATTTTGTTGTAATTTAATGTCCGCTTCTTCTAGCTTTTTATTATAGGCCTCCCTAGCTTTCCTTTTTTCCTTATTTTTAAACGCCATATACGATATCGCTACTCCTCTCACATATGCTTTCATAGTAACCCACACTATTTCCTTGGCCGTGCCTTGCTTGCCATTTTCTATAAAAAAGTGCTTGACTTCTTCATTCAATTTTAATATAAACTCTTTTTCATTCAAAAGATTAGTCGTTAGAATCCATCTCTGTTGTTTTCTCTTATTTGTATAATGCCAGTTTATTTCAAGAAGCTTATGATCTGCCCAGGTGTTTGTACTCATATCAACTTTCTTAATTTCCAATCCTAGTTTTCTAGTGGTCCATACCATGTCAATTCTAGACCAGGAGTTCTGTGAGTTTGAATAAAAAGTATATTGGGAATCATAAGGGTGTAGAGTAC